TGTCCTTAAGAAAGAAAGAGTTTATAAGGAGGGCTTTCAAAAACCCTAAATTTCAATTTAGGTTTCCTTATCATCCAGTACGATTAGTTCAATGCCATTAAAAATCGTCGTGTACGATTAGAAATAGTCCAATATGTTTATTTCAAATCGAATGTCAGATCATGCAAGATGAACCAAAGTTCGTCCAAATAGCTATTGGGAGGATCAAATAGTACGTATTTATAGCGTACAATACGATATGCAATTAATTCAAATTCGATTCAATTTCTAAATCCTCATACTTCAATTAGGCAATTATAATTAAACTTTGTACAATACGAAGATGTTTATACAATTCGATCAGTTCAATTTTAAAATTTTAAAATTTTCTTTTTTAAGTAATCAGGATTCGACGGTGGGGTTTCTTAATATATCTAATCGTCCTGTAAGATGTGTATAGCATACAGTTCGATTAGTTATATATTAATTTTAACTAGTCTCACTTAATTAAATATTTTAATTTTTTTGTTTGAATAGATCGTACAATATGATCTTAAATATACAATACGATTAACAGAAAATTAAAACACTCTTTTTTATTCCCCATTGTATGCATGTGCACGGTTATTAAGCCAACATATACCTAATAAAGAAATAGATTTAAAAAATAAAAGATATACTTTGTAACATATAGATTGACTTTTACCTTGATGCTACATTGTTTTGAGCCAATTATTCAGTCTTTGCTTGGTGTATGATCCACCTTAAATGGTTAGTAGCACACAAAATAAATATATAAAATGTAATGCAAAAATTAGTAAATAATGCATCTAATAATGTTTGTAATCATTTAAACATGATATTGGACTCTCGGATTACAACAATCTCTCTCTTTGATGTTGACAAACATAGTTGGTTCAAAATTAAACTTTCAAAGTTTAATTTTAGTTTCTGCTAAGTTTTCCTCCTCACTAAGTGCTTCATTTTTAAAAATGTGGGAAATCTTAATTTTTAATCATTATAATTTTTATTTTTATTTTGTTTTATATATTTTAACACAATAAACATACACTGAAAATAGAAGTTGCAAAGTAAAAATTGGCACTAATTGAAACAACTTGTACAACCAACGTCACTATCTATTCCCCCTTTTTTCATCATTAAAAAGAGGAACTACAAATAGACTATAGTAAAGGAAGAATAAATTACTAAAACATAAAAGACAATCAAAACATAGTACAACCATCATAGTACAAACAACACATTACTTATCAAACGGGCCCTGATCCGATGGTGGCGGTGATAGTTGAATGTAGTGGTATAAGGAAGCAAATTAATCTGTGAACCATGCACGATTGCCTCATGCTATTGTTGCATCTGCTTCTAGTGTGTAATAGACTCCTGAATGTGTCTCTCCAAGCGTAGCTCTAAGCGATTAAATTGTTTAATCCATGAGTTAGGAGTTGGTGGCTAGTAGGTTGGTGCTAGTGCCACAAATGCAGGTGTCTTGGGGTTTGGTACTTCCCTTCATAATCAAAATCATGCAATCAAAACAACACAAACACAAATACACAAACTAAATAGAAACACAACTCATCAAAACACAATAAAATAGTAAATAAACCAAAAATGAACTATGAAACATATATGTATGCAAGCAAAAAACTAAAACAAATAAACATGTTAACAAAATGAGATGAATACAAATTAATAAGCTACAAAATATAGAAACACAAACATTAGTTATAACATGTAATGATTCTTTGAAATTGAACATTTTCTTTCTCAATACCCCATGCTCTCACTGAACCTCTTATAAGAGCATACTTGCAATATTAACATATGTTAATTTTGAGAAACCAAGTGGATTCGTTTTCCACCTTATGCTGAAATATATGAATGCTATGCTGTGCTAGTGATACTTTGGGCCTCCAAATAATGTGTTCTACTGTGTTCGGAGTGTGCAATTGCATGCAATGTGTCTTAGTATGTCATAAGAATAACACTTAATCCCTGGAAATGGATTAACTAATCTAAATATGGGATTATATCTATTTTTATGAGATCATGATGTATGCTGTGTTTTATTATGTGGCTTTACTGTGTGTAGGTCACAATGCATTTTGTTTAAATGCAATGATCTTTTTAATTAAGTGTTAATTGCACTCTTGTGCATGCCTATTTCCACTTAATGCATGCTCATTGTTGTCTATTTCTAATGTTGGCTCTTGTAGTTTTTTAATTGCTACCTCTAGCTTAATATGATCTTTTTATTCAAGGCTTCATGCTTTTCATGTAGTTCAATATGCCTTTTATTTAATGAATATTCTCTTCTTTAATGCACTATGCTTTTCATTTAATGATTCAAACTACTTGTCTAGTGCAATATGATCGGAGCTAAAAACGTTAGCTTTAGTCATCAAACATATGTTTGTTACCTCCTCTTTTGGTTTAGTTTTTATGATTTCGATTCTGAGTTCGTCAAAGGCTTTTTAAAAGTTTGTTTTCCCTTCTTTGTACTTGTTTTTGCCTCACCCGTATCTGTAGTTGGGTGGCTGTTGATGTTCGGCCAGTCATATCTAACATGTCTTGGCTTTCTGCACTCGAAACAAATCACATATGTAGAAAATTTATTAGATTTTACAATTTTATCTTTGTGTTTGTCAAAGTGGCACTTGTGTTTGCGTTTTAGGAAGCTCTTAAATTGTTTCGTCATTAGTATGATGTCATTGCTAATGTCTGTGTTGTTAGCCTTTAGTGTTATTGTTCACTCCTTTTTTCGTTCAACTGTATCTATATGTCTTTTGCTCACGTTTTGCTCGTAGGCAATTAGAGAGCCTAGAAGATTATTAATAGAGTAAACATTTAAATCTTTAGATTCAAATATAATAATTACTTTCACATCCAATGATTTAGGTAGAAAAACATAAGATATTATTAAATTTCCCAGAACTTGAAATCTCTCTAACCAAGGCATGCAAAGATGTGATGGTTTTAGTAAACTTTGTATAAATATTTGGAATCGATTCACTAGGTTTCATGTAAAAGAGTTCATACCCATGTAAAAGTAAATTCAAGCATAACTGTTTGACTTTGTTAGTGCCTTTGTAGATAATGTAAAGTTTGTCCCAAATTTCCTTACCACTAGCGCAAGTAGAAATACACATGTAATCTTTAGATTTCAAATACACAAACGAAGAAATTCAAATATGTAGCTTTAAGTTGTGCAAGCTCAAGGTCTTCTAAAAACCATTTAGTAAAGAAATTTCTACTTTAACTCAATTCAAAATGTGAAGCAATAAAGTATATACAGATTGTATCATGTGCCACATTCGAAAATAATTATTTTTTAAAATGTGGACATATAGATTTTCCAAAACTCAAATCGTATATTATCAAAAAGTTGTGACCGGATAAATGAAAATCCTTCCAAGGTGTTACAATTATCAAACTATACCATTTAATATACTAAAGATATTAAAATCGAAAATAGTGTGAGAACACTTTATCTCTAGTTTTAGGAAGAATTAAATCATGTTAGTGTCAGTCATACACAAATAAGTGACAAATAAACAATAAAGGTGTAATATTGACTCTATATCTTGCTTTAGGAAGAATTAAATTTATAAGGACATGCTTGATGACACGGACATTTTGGACTATAGTGTTGAATAAGGATAAGTGTTGGCTTATGGGTGTGTTTCTGAGAGTGAGACTGATCTGAGTCCAATCATAGTCTTATATTGTGCAAATATTAGAGGTTTTATACCAGTTGTAGAAATATGAAATCTTATAAAAATCCTGATGGGATATTTTTACTGGAGAATGGCCCGGTTTAGGATATTAGACAATGTGATTTGGGCGGCTCTATAATGATGATAAGCAGCTTCACCTTCAGCTGATTGAATTTATTATCAAACTGGGGACGAAAAGAACTCTCAGGATGGATTCGAGCCCTCATGCCGGCCATTGGGAATGCTTAAGAATATGATTTTGAGAAAGATTGTGTGTGATTTAGAGTGAAAATCTCTCTCCAATATATAGAACTTGATCAATCGTACGGTGCGATCGGCATTGCATAGTACGATTGGTATTGTACAGTACGATCTCACCAAGCTCAGCTATAGGAAAATTCCTGTTCACTGGACTTTTAGTTTGTTTCGCCGCAACCGCCTAGCTTGAAGCCTATCCCTTCCCAAGCTGACATCTTACTTGCCTCTCTCCTTTCAAGCGATTCAAGATCTCTCACACAATTCATTGGCAACATCAACAAGCTTGCTAGTCACAAATCCGCTCATCCTTGCACTTGCCCAAGACTCGCCCAAATTTACTCGCCTACTCAACACTATTGAACTCACCCGAAGACAATTTGTCAAAGCCTTCTAGCCTCGCCTTCCATCAACCAGTCAGAAGATGACACATGTTATACGGATATTCCATGTAGTATTGTATTTTTACATTTTTTGTGTAGCCTTTTTTTGAACTTTTAGAATCCCATAAATAAGGGGTGATGAGGAAAAATTGGGATTTTTTGCTGGAGTTTCTGATTGATTTTGGTGGATTTTATAGTAGTTTGAGATTCACAACTTTCTTGAGTTCTATACATATTCTCTGTAGTTGTCTAGTTATCTTGTTCTTTTCCATTTCCCTCTCCTCTGTCCATTCACTCATAGGTTCTCCGGACATCATAGAGTAGGCCTTGTAGTGAGATTGGGTGTTATCTAAGGACATATTTGGATCTAACAATTCATTTGAGAATTTATTTTTATAAGATATGTAATTCAATTTCTTCAAGTGTTAGAAAACTTCATTGTTTTTCATAAAGGCAGTTTTCAATGGTTTGTTCCCATCTATTACTTTTGAAAATTGAATTATGTGTTTGCATTTGCATGCGCTTCCATTTGTCTTCATGTTATCAAATTTTTAACACATTTATTCCCGAGAGTTATCCCTGAAGTTGTATTCTGTTAATGTGAAAATTCATTTATCTTACTGGTGCTACATTTTGCTTGGGCAACTAGAGAGTAAATCAACAAATGATGGCAGTAGTGGTCAACCTGTTGTTCCTATAGTCTCTGGGTCTACCACAACCAGCAATGGGGAGAGTAGTTCATTTACTTCCAGAGTTGGAGAGGACCTTAAAATTGCATCACAGTTGAGGAAGTTTACTTTCAACGAACTTAAATGTGCCACAAGAAACTTCAGACCAGAAAGCCTTCTTGGAGAAGGAGGCTTTGGTTGTGTCTTTAAAGGTTGGATTGAGGAGAATGGAACTGCTCCTGTTAAACCTGGTACAGGTCTCACCGTTGCTGTGAAGACACTGAATCATGATGGGCACCAAGGGCACAAGGAGTGGTTGGTAGGTTTTCATCTTAGTTTCCAAATACTGTTTTATTCTTATTCACTTTTTCCATTTTGCTATTTTCATTCACATGCAAAATACATTTACGTGATAATTTCTTTTGGTTTTGCAGGCTGAAGTAAATTTTCTTGGTGAACTTCTTCATCCTAATTTGGTTAAGTTGGTTGGTTATTGTATTGAAGATGATCAAAGGCTGTTGGTATATGAGTATATGCCTCGTGGTAGTTTGGAGAATCACCTTTTTAGAAGTATGTCTGGATGTTTCTCATATCTCTTCCCAATATTTCTAGATCTATTTCAACTGTTTCATTTTCTCCCTTGTACTCAAAAGGTTTTGATTGACTTTTATTTTAGAAACCTGATGACATTCATTCTGAAATTACGTATCAAAACAATGTTAAAAGTTAAAATCTTTTTTGGGCCAAAGTTTAAATTCTCTTTCAGATATTCCATGCTTTAGGGTTGATAAATATAGAATTTACTACCGTAGGTAGATCATTTCCTGTTTACGCCATTTTGTTGTCTATGCTTATGAAACTATGAAGAGCTGCACGTGGACTGATTTCGCTAATCATTCTGGCGCAAGTTCAAAGTGTGATTTATGCATTTTTTGATCAACAAAATAGTATGAAAGCATTATCAAGTGTGGTTAATGTTTCTATTTTATAATTGTTACAACCTTGAGCTTTCATGTCTTTATAACATAGTTTGGATGAATAATATAAAATCTTCCATTATACTTGTTATATCTTCTGGTTGTATTTCCATTATCAATCTTTATGAGTGCTTGTTAATTCCTTTCGTTAGAAAAGAAAGAATAAAAGTTTATTGTCTGATGTTCACGTAAAGTGAATCTTTTTTTTTCCTTGTAAATTCATGTTTTTGTAACCTTTTTATAATATTTCTTTCATGATAATTTCTGAAATTTTGTTAAACTTTATTTTTTCTAGTGTCTAGGCGCTATTTGATTGATTTTAAAGGTTTGTTATTTCATTTGTTCTTTGAGGATTTTTTTTTAAAGGAAATGGGGGACAAAGCCCACTACATTTATTCTTATTAGGGTTAGTAACATCCTCGTCTTTGACCATTAATTTTTTCTTTATGCATTAGACCAAGGAAGGCAAAAAGCATGTAAAACCAATGGAATGGTTGAAATTTGGTAGATGATTAATGGACGGAAATTTCAGAAGTTCATATGCAATGATTTAGGTTGTATTCATCATATTGCATAATGAAAGTTTGCTTATCAATTATAATCCGTAATTAGTTTACCTATTAAATAAGTGTTTTATGTTATCAAGTTAATCAGTAATTAGCTTACCTGTTAATTAGTATTCTATGTTATCTAGTTTACCTGCTAGAAACTGTTTATGTTATCCGTTATAATAAGTAATAGGTTTACCTGTTAATAAGTGTTGTTTATATATGAGCAAGATTTATTCTTTCAGGCGATATTATGATTGAGATTGCTAGGGATAGATACTGCTTTCATAAAGAAAATAAACGTTGTTTGTTTGTTTTCAGATTTTATTTTAAACTTTAGACCTTTTTGCTTTTGTTTAATCTAAACTTTTTTATTTCAATTAAAGTTCTTAACTGCACTTATAAACCAACTTTGTTTTACTAAGCCCTACGATGCCCACCTCAAGCACATTTCTGGAATCCGGCTGAAGTCTAGTGGGCTTTTTATTAGTGTATTGAGTCCATTTCATCCCTCATAATTAACAATAACAGTAACATCAAGCTTTTATCCCACTACGTGGGGTCGACTACATAAATTTTTTTTCTCTATTGTGTCCTGTTAAGAATCAAATTCTCATTTAAATCTAATAAAGAAAGGTCATTTTTAATAATTTCTAACAAAGTCTTTTTAGGCCTACCTCTACCTTTCTTAACATAGGCCAAATCTAATATATCTATTATCCTATCAGGGTCATCGGAAGGCCGCCGTTTTACTTATCCAAACCATCTAAGGCGATTATCTCTAATCTTATTTGTCACTTGAGCTACTCCAACCTTTTCACGAATATGTTCATTTTGAATCTTGTCTCATCCCTCCTAATCATTGGTCTAAAATCATCCTTGACAGTTAACACAACTATAAAGGATTTGGTCATCATTACATGGCTTCACTACCTTTGCCATAAGTGCATAAATTTATATTTATTGGTCTGTGGATCTTTCTATGGGTCTTCGTATCTGAAAGGTGTTGTTACGTTTCTTACCAATGCCTTATTCTAAGCTAATCTTCTTGGTTGTTTGAGGTCAATTATCATGTTTACCAATCCCATCTGTTTCTCTGTATTTACTTTTAATCTATCAGAAAATATTGTTAGGCCTAGGGCTGTAAATGAGCTGAGCTTGAGAGAGTTGGAAGCGTTCTTGTTCGACTTACTGGGATTTTTAGTTTTTTGAAATTACTCGAGTATGAAATTGGCTTGTTATGAGTACTGTTTGTTTTATTGTTGACGAGCTTGTTGGGCTTGTGTTCAGCTCAAATTTCATTTGAAATAATAGAAAAAATCAGATGAAAAACCTCACCTTCTCTTTGATTAAGGTAATGATCTCTCGCACATTTTTTGGCAAGCTTCTGTCGTTCAACTCACACATTCTCTGGCAAGCTTTCGTCGATGCCTTCTCTAGTAAGATTTTGTCGCACAATTGGTTCGGTCGATTCATATGGGAAACCCAAAAAAAAAGAAAAATTCATGCACAGAGTGATCCAGTCAATGCCTTCTCTAGCAAGATTGGTAAGCCTCCATTGACATTCTTGCTTTTTTGTTCATTGGGGGCGGGATTTTGGGAGAGATTGATTAGGGTTTTGGGATATTGGGATATGCCGTTTGGATGGAGATTATTGATGGCTTTAGCTAAGAACATTTAGGGTTTTTCACCTTAGCCCATCTATCAAATACTATTTAACTAAAATAAAATTTTAATTTCACTCCTACTCTATAACACACACACACACACACACATATATATATATATATATATATAATTTAAAATTTTTAATTTATTTTGAGTTAAGATTAGTTGAACATGATTAAATAAAGGTCTGCTCATATTTGACTCATTTACTTAACGAATGAATCAAACACGAACTACGTAGTGAGCTGAATATGACTGTTTGCAAATAATGACTTTTTATACTGCTGTAGTTAGGATGCTTCCAAATGAAGAGTATCATTTGAATTATATTGACAGTCGGAATGGAACGGCATTGATTCCTTAATTGTTTAAGTTAAAGTCAATATTAATTTGAATTTGCAATAATAAATGCTTTGACTTATTTGATTTTCATCCCATTGTTTCTCACTACACACTGTGCTATACAGTTGCCTTTGCAAACCAATCCCCCACATCCCCTCCCTTCCTCAAATCCTCCTAATGGAAGAAAAAGGTTCCAGCGGTCTCCCAAACACAGATTCAAAATAAAAATAACAAATATTCTGTTTACATCAGCTAGAAAATTTATCGACCTATTATATCATTTCTTTCACTATTTATTCATGTTGAGATAGATATTAATTATCTTATCTGCTTTGCTAATTTAAAGTTATCTATTGCAAATGGAAACATTCTTTATCATTCTGGTGACGTTGTCTTTAACTGTCATTAAAAATGCACTCTTATGCAGGGTCCCTACCTCTGCCATGGTCCATAAGAATGAAAATTGCACTTGGCGCTGCCAAGGGCCTAACTTTTCTTCATGAGGAAGCAGAAAGGCCAGTGATATATCGTGATTTTAAAACATCTAATATCCTACTAGATGCGGTATGCTCCAATTTATTTTAGTAATTCCTCTAAAACCTTCACTACATTTATGGGTTACTCATTTTGAAATAATTTATTTTTGCAGGATTATATTGCCAAACTCTCTGATTTTGGGCTTGCTAAAGATGGTCCCGAGGGAGATAAGACCCATGTGTCCACACGGGTGATGGGAACATATGGATACGCAGCGCCGGAGTATGTAATGACAGGTAACTTTGTTGGCATCTGCTTGTTATTTTCAAAGTAAAAGGTCTGCTGATCAATTGTTATTAATTGGAAATTTTCTTCTTTGAGTATTGACTAACTGTTAATTTATGTTGAAATGTGAGTTTCAAATGTTCTATCTAATCCTTTTTAATGTAATTATAGTGTTACTTCTAAAAAGACTATCTTTTTATAATACCTGATGTCATATGAATAGTTTACTTGGCAGAAGGTTTTGCAATCCGATTTCCAAATTAATGACATGTTTATTGCTCTGGATGGAACTAATATTCCTTTTTGCTGCAGTTTTTAAGCTTTAAATATATACAGTAAAATTCGCATAAACCTTGCTAAGTAAACTGAGAATAGTCTTTTATTTTCAGTTTACAGCTTTATTTTTTACTACACTCATTCCAATTCAATGTACACTCTAATCGGACAGTCATACAGGCCCATATCTATTATGTAGTGTAATTTTTCTTTTTAAAGAAATACTACCTATACCTTTAAGCACGTTCCTACATATTATGAGTCATGATGAAAAGTTTTTGCTTTGATTGCTTTTATTTAACCATTTTTTCGGCTATTTGATTTCTGACAACTATTGACATTTTTAGTTAGCCGCAGCAAAACGGAATTGCATTTATGTAAATTTCCCTTTTGTATGCCATGTTGATGAGTGGAATATCGTTATCTGCTCTTCTTACCTATAATTTATCTTGATTGAAATATCATCTGAAGTTCTATATTGCACATGCAATACCATCATCTTCATACATGTAGAAAGACTGCAAAATTGTTTTCATGTTTACTTGTTTGGCTCATATAATTTGCAACCGCATTGAGATCAACTTTTTTTAGAAAATGCCTCCTTACACAGATCATTTATATTAGTACATGCAATTTTTACCCTTTTAAGCTTTTCTTGCCTGTTACGTTTCTCAAGCATAATGGCTATCAATGGTTAAATATTACTGCGGATGTTTAATTTTGTTATTTGCATTTGTAAAGTGAACCAACTGAGAGAGAAAAATTTAATTTGGTATAGTGAGCCAATAATTAATTAAGAATGTACCAGCATGAACCAAGTTAATATCATAAGTTGCCTGTAAGAACTATCTAGAGCTAAGAAACACCAAATTACTTGAATATGAACTCATCTTTGCGGTACTTAACCTATAATATTTAGCATTCAAACTTGATTGATTAGCACAAGGAAATCATATCCGATTAGAGTTATTTGATAGAGATTTGACTGACAATATTCGTATGATAGTCACTCTGTATTCCATTATTTTTCTTAATCAAGAGAAGTTTGACTTCATGTCACTTGAATGCTCCTAAATAATAAATGTTAGACGCCCCTTGTAGGAGTTTGAGTTTTGTGTTGTCCATCAACACAAACCTTCACTCCTGCTTATAAATATAAAGTTAAGTGTCATGTGTGGGGAATTTATTTCTTGTGAAAACGAATCCAAAGTTCTCCCGTTCTCTTTGAATTCATGTACTTTATCTCGATCTAGCTCATCCTTCTTTGTAACGATTCACCTTAAGAGATCATAGAGCTCAAATTTAGTCTTTTTCCCCTCTTCTTACCTTTTCATTGTTTGGTAGTCCAAAATAGGGATTTTACTTATTTTTCATAGAATAACTTTTGCATCTGTTTTCCTTTAAACCACATTGAATGTTGAAGATGGCTCGAACTATGAACATGACTATTAACAACCATGAAAATCTTGTGAAAATGCCTCAGAGCAATATGTACAAAAACATGGCTTATTTTAACCAAATTCTACAAATGAAAGATTCTTTAATGAGGATCGTCTAAATCGTGATTGAGAGTTTCTTGCAAGCTCCTCACTTATTTGGGAGTAGATTATGTCATTTGTGCCGCATGCACATGCTACGATGTGTGCTTGTCTTATTAACTCACTTTGGTACGACTTCTCTTAATGAAAGTACTGCTAAGATTCCATTTGAAAGGCTAGTTAAGCAAGTAGCCACATCAATGAATGTTCTTATTTGATCTCAAAGAATCTTCCTCTTCTTGAGTTTAAGATGTTTGTCTTGAACTCCCCTTCGGGGAACTTGGACCTTGATTTCCATGTCACCCACCACAAGTCCATTGTGAGTCTTGGTAGTTTGTGACTATGAAATGCCGCTTTGTTTTCACCACCTTTAAGGATGCACCCTTGAGGTTACTCCATCATAAAGAATTATTTATTATATTTAATTCAAGAGGATGTGCAACATTTATTTTACGAGTGCGTTACAATCTTTGAAGAACTCACAAGCTTTATTGAACATGGACAAGGATTGGTTGAGATACTTTGGCAATTCATCATGATCTTGTAGTGCAATATGTTGCATGTTCAAGATTTGGAGCCAGTTTTCATGTAAAATGTGTTCGCCCAAAGCCTCCGAGAAGGACTATTTTGTTATGCCTTGGGCACGAAGCCACATAGACCCTTGTCAAGTTTCTTAAACTCATCAATAACCATATCAACTTATGAGAAGACAATTGTGTGGTCTCGACTCAAGATGCCTAAACCTAGAAGTTTGAGGATTATTGATCAGCTCATTGAGATATTTAGCATAAACTAAATTATCGCCATTACAATAAGTTGATGGAGAAGGCTCATTTCTGTTGAGATAATAATCCTAAAGTTTGAAAGGGGTACGATGTCCTACGATCTCTTTAAACACGAGAGGACATTTCATGTTCATGTTGTAGCCAATTTCATCATAACCGATAGCTTCATCTCCAATAAGGCCATCTTTTACCGCCAAAATTTTAACCTCTTCAAAGTGGTTGTGTTGACTTATCATTTCACACCATTAAGTTCCTGATAGAAGGTTTTCTTATCATAGTCTGAAGGTAGTTGCAATCTCAGGTGTGCTTGCTATCTTAAGATAGTGGGGTATGTTCAAGAGGTTTTCAACTTGAAGATGAAAGGGAAGCCTTGATTGTTGGAATTGAATTAGTTAAATTATTCAGAAGTGTTATTTACTACCCGAATCAGATTTTTTTGTTTTGATGCACACATCAATGTTTGTTATTGCATAGATTTTGTAAACTATTTGTAATTGTTAATTTAGCAAAACCTCTCTGAGAAAGGTCTGGCTGATGACTTCTAAATTTGGAAACTTTAGCACCATGGTTGGATTTCAGGTGTTGTAATAGTGCAAAATTTAATATCAAATGGATGATGCGCATTGACTTTATAATTTTGTACCAAATTTACTTTACTACTACAACAACAACATCAATTCTTTATCCCATTATGTGGGGTTGGCTACATGAGTCCTTTTTCTCCATTATATCATATTAAGAGTCAAATTCTCATTTAAATCTATTAAAGAAATGCCATTTCTAATATTTTATAACCAAGTCTTTTTAGGTCTATCTCTGCCTTTCTTAACATAAGCAAATGTAATACATCTACTCTTGTAATTGGGTCATCGGAAGGCTGCCACTTTGTGATCAAGCCATGTAAGGCGACTCTATAATCTTATTTGCCACTGGAGCTACTCCAACTTTTTCACGTATATAGTCGTTTCGTATCCTATATCTAAGTGTACAACCACTCATTCGCCTGAGCATCCTCACCTCTGCATCACTTAACCAAATTTATTCTAAAAAAAAGATTTTTTTTTCTTTTTTTGGGAGATTCGGCAATTGGTTATCTTATGATGAATTTTAATTCATTTTTAATATATCACCATATCATGATGTTCTTGATGGTTTGCAAGAAGTTTATATTCATCATATATAATTAGTTGCGGCAATCCTATTCTTTTTGGATGAAAGAATGTTGTGGTGACTTACGAACAAGTGATTGAAACCATTTTTAAGAGTTGAAGCATTGCAACATGGAAGTGTATTGGTAACCTACTTGTTAAAATAACAATCCTTACTAGCACTACGACACACCACTTGCAAGAAACATGCTATGCTAAGAAGGTATGTATGTGCCTTAAATCATAAAATTGTGACTTGGGAAGTTTTTGATTTTATGCATCTCCATAAGACATATAAGATAACTTGGATAAGGTCCAAGAAATTCTATACATGTCATCACCAAGAATCACAAAATAGTTGTAGATACCCAGAGGTTTAGTTGCTGGCATAATAAGATGATTCATCTCCATATTTTGTGACGAGCGCTCGCTCTTCTTTTAAGGGCTGCAAAGTGCAAAGCATTTTAAGTGGATAGAGATAGAGGAATGTGATGAAGTCTTCACTTAGTTGTAGATATTTCTTTCTTCACCATCTCAGACTTAGATATCACAAACCTCAGTGGATGGTCAAGAGCCGCTTGAATTGAATGTGCTTGGAAAGAAGAATGTAGTCATCCAAAGTTATGATCGGTGCTAGTAACAATTTGTTTTTTATAATATATGTTAGCTTTACTCAAAGAATTTAACTTGGATAGGATAATCAAGTTAATTGTGGAATAATGCGGGTTCTCCATCTTGTACATGTTGAGAATTACAATAAAAGCTTAAATACTTCCTCACATAACTGTCCAAGCTCATCAATTTGAACAAGACATTCATAAGATCTATTTTGATCAATGTACGTTGATAGGACCTCTAGGAGCAATGTCTGACAAAATCTATGTAGTTTTGAAATGCCCAGTACTCTACTAGGTGTCATCCTATATCACGTGAAAATTTTCTTCTGGGTGAACAAAAACGAAGCCTAGTATAAACCTCTTTTGGTCATCCTATAATTTGCTTTAGTAATTGGTGCAAAGCAAGTCTCTCTCTTCTCAGCTTCTCAACATGGATTTAAAGATAACGAGTATGAAGCTTGACATCCTACTATGCAAAGGTACTCATTCTAAATCATGGATGATATTAGTTAACTTGAATACTTTGTCTTCTTATCTACATTTTATCTTAACTGAAATATTGTTGACCCGTATATCATAAAAAAAATTAAATTAAAAAAATTCAATCGTACCTATTAAGCGTCATTCCTCGCACGTTGACCCCTTGC